AAAGAAGTGTTGGGACCATTGCCACTTTACGGGACAGTATAGAGGTTGCGCCCACGAGGACTGCAATCTACGATTTAGTATGAGATATTATAAAATCCCTGTGTTTCTTCATAACCTTAAAAACTATGATGCCCACTTAATCATCAACAAGGCTCACGAACTGAACAAGAATTCTAAAATAGAATGTATCGCTCAGAACAGCGAAAAGTTTATAACCTTTGGTTTTAAAAATCTTTGTTTCAAGGACAGTTTCAGTTTCTTATCGTCTTCGTTGGATAAGTTGGTCAGGTTGAGTAAATATGAGGATGATAAAAAGCGTGAGAATTGGAAGAACAATTTCAGATACAGCGTTAGAAACCCGTATGTTAAAACCGATGAAGATTTGGATTTATTGACTGATAAGGGTATTTATCCCTATGACTACTTTGATGATTTTGAAAGATTTAAGGAAAGGGCTTTACCACCGAAAGAAGCGTTTTACAGTAAATTGAGTGAAGAACATGTAAGTGATAAAGATTATGAAAGGGCACTGAAAGTATGGAAGCACTTCGGGATTAGAACACTCGGGCAGTATCACGACTTGTATTTAAGAACTGATGTTTTACTACTGACCGATGTATTTGAAAACTTTAGAGACTTGTGTATGGAATACTACGGTTTAGACCCCGCTCATTATTATACGTTGCCAAATTTCGCATGGGACGCGATGCTTCTAAAAACTGGTGTTGAAATAGAACAATTGCATGACCAAGAAATGTTTGAGATGGTTGAAAAGGGAATGAGAGGTGGTATGTGTCAGGTTAGTCATAAATTAGCAGTGGCAAATAATAAGTATATGGGAGAAGCATATGATGAGAACAAGCCATCAAATTATATTAGCTACTTGGATGCTAATAACTTGTATGGTTTAGCAATGTCCCAGAAATTACCGCTAAAAAATATCAAGTGGGCAAAGAAAACGCCCAGTGTTGAAAATGGAATGAAAACGATGAGTTCGGTTATATTATGGAAGTTGATTTGGAATATCCCGAAACATTGCACGACTTCCACTCTGACTATCCACTAGCGCCTGAAATAATGAATGTAAATGTGAATATGCTTTCCGACTATCAAAAGCAAGTCTTCAAAATATATTATGATGGTAAAAGTCCCAAGGACGAGAAAACAAGTAAGTTAATATTAAATCTAAAGGATAAAGAAAAATATGTGGTTCATATCAAGACTTTACAGTATTATTTGAAAATGGGAATGAAAATGACCAAAGTCCATAGGATAATAAAATTTCAACAGAGGGCATGGTTGAAACCGTGGATTGATTTTAACACTGGTAAAAGGAAAGAAGCCAAAAGCGATTTTGAGAAAGATTTATTCAAATTAATGAATAATTCTGTGTATGGAAAAACTATGGAAGACAAACGAAATCATATGGACTTTGAATTAGTTGATAATGAAGTTAGATACGAAAAATGTGTTAATAATCCAACATTCAAAAATAGATTTATTATTAATGAAAACCTTGTAGGAGTTGAAAAAACTAAAGCGAAGCTGAAACTGGACAAACCGATTTTCTTAGGAATGACAATCCTTGACATCAGTAAATTACATATGTATCAGTTCTACTATGATGTTCTTAAGAAGAAATACAATGAAAACATCAAACTGGTTTATACTGATACTGACAGTTATGTAATTCAAACATTCACTGAGGACATCTACAAGGACTTCAAAGAATTAAACCAATATATGGACTTTAGCGATTATCCACCTGAACACCCCTGCCATGACAAAACAAATAAGAAAAAACTCGGTTATTTCAAGGATGAGTGCAACGGTCAAACAATAACACAATTCATAGGGTTAAAGCCTAAATCGTATGCTTTTACAATACACGGTGAAGAAGAAGAACAAAAGAAATCAAAAGGTGTAGTGAAACACAAGGTGAAGAAAGAACTGACTTACCAAAACTACCACGAAGCATTATTTCAAAACAAAAAGCATGAAATAACATATAATTTTATTCGTAGTCGCAACCATCAATTATTTTCAATGTCTCAAGTCAAGCAATCACTCAGTAATTATGAAAATAAAAGGTTTTACATTGATGCTTTCAATTCACTGCCTTATGGACATTATAAACTGCGTTAAAGAAAAGATAACTAAGGTTATTAATGGATAGCAGTAAATATAAAAACGCAAAGATTTACAAAATAACAGATGTTGGTTATAATAAGTGCTACATCGGAAGCACCTGTGAAAGCTTGAGCCAAAGAATGGCAAGACATAGACAAAATTATAACAAGGCAGAACAATGGAATAATAAAACAAACTGTCGTTTGTTGTTTGATGAATATGGAATGGACAACTGTAAGATTGAATTATTAGAAGACTACCCATGTGAAAACAGAGAACAGTTAATGAAAAGAGAAGGTTATTACATTCAAAATAATGATTGTGTGAATAGATGTGTGGTAGGTAGAACAATTAATGAGTGGAAGGAAGACAATAAGGAACACTATCAAAATATGAGGAAGGAATACGCAGAAAACAACAAAGAACATATATGTAATAAAAGTAGGGAGCACTACCACCAAAACAAAGAAACAATATTGGAAAAACGAAAAGAACCTATTGAATGTGAATGTGGTGGTGTTTTCAGGAAATGTGATATAAGAAGACACGAGAGAACTGAAAAACATCAACGATATGTATGTGAAAATATTAATATCTAAATAGTTCTAATAATATATGCACTTATTAGAACTATTTAGTGGTACTTCTTCAGTTGGTAAAGTAGCAAAGTCGCTCGGTTATAATGTTATATCATTGGATTTGAAAACGGTGGGTAAACTCCCCAATTAAGGGGGGCGAACTCCCCAATTAAGGGGGGCGAACTCCCCAATTAAGGGGGGCGAACTCCCCAATTAAGGGGGGCGAACTCCCCAATTAAGGGGGGCGAACTCCCCAATTAAGGGGGGCGAACTCCCCAATTAAGGGGGGCGAACTCCCCAATTAAGGGGGGCGAACTCCCCAATTAAGGGGAGAATGGCTCAAGTAACAAGGTCTGGCTCACACAACACAGTCAGGCTCACACAACACAGTCAGGCTCACACAACACAGTCAGGCTCACACAGCAAGGTCTGGCTCACACAGACATTTAAATTAAACCTGAAACCCAGACCAGTCGACCAGCAACCCCTAGCCAAAACTACTTAAAGAGAAAAAACCTTATATATTAAGAGAAAAATGAGTGGGGGTAAAATGTCAGAGAATAATTTTATGGTTGTGAATTGCGCTAGCTTACCTGAAGGCTTAGTTTCAATCATCACTACTTACATTAATGGTAGTGAAGGGTGGCGAAGACTGAAACAATGTGATGCTTTAAGAGAATTACAAAGGAAATGGAAACCGTCTATTTACACTGAACGAGTAGGAGAAAGTAGATATTATGTTGAGATTCGCAATAAATGCTTAAAAGGTGATAAAGCGCTTTCATATGCGTTGAAACCACCAAAAGAATTATTAAGAATGATGAAGTATGATGAAGAAATACAGGTTGGAATAGTAGTTAGTTCAAAAATTATGTATAATAATAATATTTGCAACAGTCGTTCTTATTCATCATCTAAACAGAATAAGATTTCAAGTAGAGCGTCATTACAATACCATATTGAACAAGCAGTTGAAGAAACCAAACAGACTATGAAACGACACGAAATCATTACTATCGAACATGTTGCAATTGAAATTTATAGAAAACAGAAACAATGATTTCATGGCTTAATCATAATATTTAATTATAATATGATTAAACAGTGTAAACTTTTATAACCTTTCATTATACTGTAATTTCAACCTATAAAACATAACTAGACAATCACATAAAAATCACATAAAAAGAAGTTGTTAAGATATATTAAGAAATGGTTGTGAAGCAAACTATAATGAATAATTATGGAATGACAGAAGAAAAAGCAACAGAAGACTATGGTGAATTCTTCAAATGCAACAGATGCCTTTATGATAAAACAATTGATGAATTTGGAAATGTAAAAAGTGGAAAAAGATATAAATATTGTCAAGAGTGTAGAACGAAAATAAATAATTGTAGAGATAAACGTCAAAGAAACAAACGACCCACCAACACCCCAGAACTTGATAACTACTAAAAGGGCTACCTCTTTCAAATGAAAAAAATGTTTGCCCCCAGCCCAACAATGAACAAGGGGGGCAATTACCCAAATGATTACCTTAACGAAAACGATAAATAAGCTCCCTAAAAACCCTCTTTTCAAAACGAATAAGGGGGAACATAGATTTGAGATGAGCATAAAAACCATAACAGGCAACCATCAACAGACTTCCCCCCAGGCCCCCTACTTCTTCTATTTTTTGGGGGAAGGGGGGGGGGTCCAACAATTCAATTTCAGGGTTCGCCCCCCTCCCCCAGTTGCATTTTTTGGGGGGGTGGGGATGAGAAAACTCTACACTGGGATAAACCACCAATCCCGACTTGCGAGTGCTCCGCCTGAAATGAAGGATAAATCCGGAATCTCCGAAGACCCGGATCGTCACAAGAGACGTGGCCCAGAAAAGGAACACAACATCAGCGGCCGTAGCACGGCAACCACCCGAACCCTTCCGGGTTACCTAGCCTCGGCTCCGAACCACGGAACCCTCCGCACTGCTTCATGGAACCCTCCGGAACCCGCAGGAACCCAACCTCAAAGAGACCCCTTACCTTTCAGCTGGGGAAAACGGGCCCTTTGGGCCAATTGCCGACCCTGGTGTCTGGGATCTTGATTCTGGTTTCGGAGCAATGGGACAGGGACACCAATAGTTCGACCGCCAAGTGTCACTTTGTTGATAGTCAGAAATCATGGCGCCTCCCCAAATAATAGTCGTCTTTGAGTAGCGATGCGCTTTCTTGACCAACTCAGGCATCGAATTTGGGTTGCCGTGGGTTCCAATCCGAAGGCTTCCTTGATCGAGGATCGCGGCTCCTTGGAGATCATGATGTCATAGCCATAGAGCTCAAAGCCTTCAATCTCAAAGCTCCAAATTTCAGCTCGCACCTTTTGGTAGGCTTGCAACAAAAAAAAAACTTGGTGTTTTGTTGCGGCCCCCTACTCAACAATGAGCAGAACCAAAGAATCAAACCAAAAAACAAAAAAACATGCCGAGAACAGTGAAGTTGGGGTCAAACTGATTGGCAACTGTTTCTGCCCTCTTCCAAGCAGTCGCGGAGGTGCACGGACGGATTTGGAAGAATATTTATTATGATCTTCAAAAGGACCTGCCCACTTCCATGATTGTTGGAAAGATGGTACTCTCCTTGTATTCACACATAAGGGTGCCCCGAGTTTTGACATTCGAAGAGGCGAGAACAGAGCTGCACACCTCAAGCACTTAATGATGATGTCAAAGTTGACCACAGCCGACCTCGCGCGTCATTAAAGACTCCCCAGAAACGTGGCCTGCACCCAACACACGGATTGGCAAACTAGACATGCACACAAACGCTCCCTCCCACAACCAAGGAATAAATTTGGCCCCCCTCCAAAAAACAACTTGCCTTTCCAGAGCACCTAGCAAGTGGAAGGGAACCGGCTAAGAGCTCGGCAGTGCTTGTCTTGTATCATCACTTTTTGCACCTCGGTCTCGCGAGGAACCCAGCCAACTGGGCTCAGTCACCCGGAAACTCAGCCGACTGCCAAGGATTCGAACCAGGTCTTCCCTTGTTTTCGGGGAGGGGGGCGGGGCAGTGGTTTGCCCTACGAAGGGTGTCCTGTGGGGTCGTTATTGCGCAAAAACGTTTCAGGAGACTTGTGGTTTCAACGCCTTAATGGCATAGCGAGCAACAAAAATATGTGAGACTGCTGCTGATTGAAAAGGGACCAGAGGGTTGGCATTGGACAGTCGGCGAAGGCTCCCCATGCAGACATTTCAACCGACCCGTGAGTCTTAAATATAGAACATGAGATCTCCTTGCATCAGAAGGGCCGACAAGAGCGAGAAGAGAATCACGTTCTGCATGTCCTCGAAGAGCTGGTGCACCTTCCTGCCATGCGCTCGCGATGTCAAAGCCTAGTACTAGAGGCCTTCCCAGATGTCATGAATTTCTCGGGTGGCCGCATTTTATACTTATTGTCCCTTACTAGCATACCCTCCTATGGTGGCTATGTCATTTAGCAGAAGTGGCCTTCCTTGGGATCTCAAACGTCCGTGTCTTAGGTTTTGCCCCTGCTTCACAAGAACAGCCCAGACCCAAAACCTAAGAGATGAAGGCAACACCTGAGGGGCACTGCAGAAACCCAAGGATAATGTTTTGCTACCTTGCCGTTTTCCAAGGGAGGAACAGGAAAGGCTCACTGCCTGGGAGCAGCTGATTTTGGTGTATAGACAAAACCCACCTCTGGGTCCTGCCTTCACTTCTGAACCGCACGCACACTATTAGGGTGCAAAAATTGTTGGTGTATACCTGGCTTGGGGTGTAGGATGGACGGGCCAAAAACTCTGCACGCACGCAAGCACACACACGCACACGCACGCGCGCACTCAAAATACACACAAACCAGCAAACACACACACAAACACACACACACACACAGAAACACACGCAAACACACACACAAACACACACACACAAGCACACAAACACACAAACACACAAACACACACACACACACACAAACAATCACACACACACACAAACACACAAACACAGAAACACAGAAACACAGAAACACAGAAACACACAAACACACACACACAAGCACACAAACACACACACACACGGGCACAATTAAGCAAGCAATCATGCAAACCAACAGACGTATAGATAGTATATGTAAATAGAACAAGAACATACATGGATAGACCGAACAGCAGTAAACCATCAAAACATGAATGCACACGCAAATTCGAACGCGAACGCACACAAATATATATATATATATATATATGTTTAGCATCAACATACATACACATACATTTACAACACATCACACTACATTACATTGCACTGACATAACATACGCATGACATACATACATGCAGGCATACATACACACACGCAGACATACACAAAACTTGCACACGTTACATTACATTACCTTAAACTGCACTACATCACATTACTTTACATTGCCTTAAGTTACGTGACATTGCATTGCATTGCATTGCATTACTTTACACACATTACATCGTACATACATACGTACATACATACATACATTACATTACAATACATTACATTACATTACATTACCTACACACATACAGAAATACATACAAACATACATACAACCATACATACATACATGCATACATACACACACACACACATACATACATACATACATACATATGTACAAATGCATGCGTTACACTACGTTATGTTGCATTTCATTACATAGATATCCGCCGACATTGCTCGGCGTGTCGGACACCTAAGAGAGGATAGAGGATAACCCCCCCCCCCCCTCTCCCTTCTTAATCCCCCCCCACCGAGTCTGATTAAGTGGGGGGGCAACCCGCCCCCCCCCATGAAGGACCGCGCGGTGGCAATTTGATTTGACGTTCCAAATCTAAACGTTAGTCTTCGGGGACCGGGGTTATTGTTAGCAAAAAGGGGTCCCAAGCTCGATGAGCAGAAGGCCGGACTTTTTTGCTGGCTGCGGTAGCAGGGCTCCTTAATATGTAACTAGGAAAAATCTGGAAAACTCTGTGATTTTGGACATCCATTATTTGCTAAAACGCTGGAGAGGAATAAACAGTGTTTTGTGCGGAATTACTGGGAGGCAAGGGGAAGTGCAAGGATTACTTACATACAGACAGACATACAGACATACATACATACATTACATTACACAACATCACATTACATTACTTTAAATTACATCACATTACATACATTACATTACATTACATTACATTACATTACATTACATTACATTACATTACATTACATTACATTACATTACATTACATCATACATTTACATTACATACATACATACATACATACATTACATTACATTACATTACATTACATTACATACATTTCATACATTACATACATTACATACATACATACATACATACATACATACATACATACATACATACATACATACATACATACATGCATACATACATACATACATACATACATACATACATACACTACATACATACATACATTACATACATACATACATACATACATACATACATACATACATTACATTACATACATACATTACATTACATACATACATACATGCATACATACATACATGCATGCATGCATGCATACATACATACATACCTACCTACCTTACATACATACATACATACATACATACATACATACATACATACATACATACATACATACATACATACATACATACATACATACATACATACATACATACATACATACATACATACATACATACATACATACATACATACATACATACATACATACATACATACATACATACATACATACATACATACATACATACATACATACATACATACATACATACATACATACATACATACATACATACATACATACATACATACATACATACATACATTACATACATACATACATACATACATACATACATACATACATACATACATACATACATACATACATACATACATACATACATACATACATACATACATACATACATACATACATACATACATACATACATACATACATACATACATACATACATACATACATACATACATACATACATACATACATACATACATACATACATACATACATACATACATACATACATACATACATACATACATACGAGAGAGGGAGATTGGGGAGAGAGTGGCTTGGGGGGATGGGGAGGATGGGGAGCGGAGGGAGGGAGAGAGGACGACAGAACACGCCAGGGAGACAAGGGAGAGAGGAAGAAGGAGAAAAGGGAGAGGACAATGTCGGCGGACTGAGCCGGAGGCTCTAAAGTATAACCTCATGACTACATGCATATATGCGTACATACACACGCTTTCCAAACATGCATGCATCGAAAAACAAACCATACATACATTCACACAAAAAACACGAACACACGAACACACAAACGAACAAACAAACAAACAACCAACCAAACAAACAAACAAACAAACAAACACACACACACAAACACAACCAAGCAAACAAACAAAACAAAAACCAAACAAAACATAGACAAACAAGCAAGCACACACCAACAGACAGACACAGACAAACGGACACGGACGGACAGGCGGACCGAGCGACAAATAAACAAACAAGCAGATAACTTGGCAAACAAACAGCCAAACAAAAAACAAAAAACAAACAAGCAAGCAAGTTAGCCTCCATCTACCCGGCCTTGTTAACCAGTTCGTTGGTTAGCTAGCTAGTTAGCTGGTTAGCGAGTTGGCGAGCTGGTCAGCCAATAAGCTAGCTAGCTAAGTTTGCCAGATCGCTAGCTGGTGAATCGTTTAAACACCTTGAAGGTCAACCCCCCGAAAGTCCGCAGAGGGTTGCGCCAGCAAAGTGAAGACTGCAAAACAAACAAGAGTTGTGTAAGGTTAGTGTCGGCCCGCAGAGGCCATAGAGAGTTCACGTTTATTCGTGGATTTGAAACGGCTGTGCCAGTGGCCCCGTCTGTGCACCCGTTGCGAGCATGCTCCGAGAGCCTCTGTCAAACATCAGCACCAAGTGGTTTGCACACTTGCCGAGGAGATGAATTGCCATGCTTTGCGTGCTCCTGCCATTCCCAATTCTTGCCAGTTATTTGAACTTCTTGGTTTTCATGCGCAATGCCTCCTGCTCTTAAACAGACCTAGCTGGAACAGCTTTTCATACACAATGTGTGCTGTTCTTGTGCACTCCAACACTACAGAAGATTCTTGCTGTATGTCGTTTAATTGTATGTCTGCAAAGAGGTATGTTTGTATGTTAGTATGTGTGTGTGTGTCTCTGTGTGCTTGTGTAGTCGCATGTTTGGGTGTTTGTATGTCGCGCGCTTATTTGTATGTTTGTCGGTTTGTCTGTCTGTATGCGTGTCAGTATGTGTTGCGCACCTTGTGTGTGTTGCGGTTGCTAAATGCGTGTGTGTGTGTGGGGGGGGGGTGTAAGCGTGTCAATGTGTGCGCGTCTATGTCTGTATGTGCGTGCATGCGTGTGTGTGTGTGTGTGTGTGTGCGTGTGTATGTATGCATGAACGCAGGCAGGCAGGCAGGCAGGCATGTTTGATGCATGTATGCATGTGTGTGCCTGCACGGCCGACTGATTGCGTGTGTTTGTCTAGGTAGGCAGGCAGCCAGGCAGGCAGGCGGTATGTATGTATGCGTATAACTTCGTGCGCATGCACACCTCTCTGTGTCTGTGTGTCTAAGTCTGCGCGAATGTCTGTATGTTTGTGTGCTACATGCGTGTCTGCGCGCTGTGTGCCTGAATGTCGGCATGTCTGTGTGTCCTTGCGTTAGTCCAGGCTGTGAAGCTGCGGCCTCGATCTGCGCTCTCCGGTCATGTCAGACAAGGTCGTGTGGGTCAAATTGTCGAGTCGGGATTGGTCGGACGGTGGCGTTGGAGAAGCAAACTGCGCTATAATTTGGAGAAGCTGGCGTTTGCAATGGCCATGGACGGCTTGCTTCAAGGCAAGGCGAAGGTGGCATGTGGAACACAGTGCCTCATGTGTGCCAAGGCACACTCCTACCAGCAATGAATTAAATGTAAACGTAATGAAAAAACATTGTCAGCAAAGTCACCATCGGGCATGAAGGCCACCCCAGAGTGAATGAGGGCCTGGCGCTCATGGCCGCATGCCCGCAACGCGCTTCCAGCTGTCGAAGTCAGGCCCATAAGCTACCCGCACAGCGCTCCATGAACAACGCGCCATCCTTGGCATGGCTAGGCAACATGCAGAACAGCTCGGCAACCTGCGCGCCCACTTCGGCCAATTCAGTCTCTGATAAGCGCGCCCCGTGTGGATGGCGCCTGGGGCTCGCCAGAAATGCCCAAACACAAAACCTTCGA